ATCCATTTCAGCTCAATAATGCTTAGGATATCAATCTTTATGCGTTCCATTTCATTTTTGACAACTTCCAATTTTCCTAGATTCATACTTCGTACATTCCATGTTCCGATGATTAATGGATGTCTGCGGCTGTTTATCCTCAATTTGAGTGGTGCTACATCAGCAAATGGAGGTCTCAAAAACTTTACCTTATCCATATGAGTAAAGCTGGGTTTACTCTGATGATGCAGCTCTTTCACAGTCCTATTTTGAGAGCCTTCTAACCTAACCAGACTATTCATAAAGTTGTGCAGTAATGTATCAGACAGTGTTTCTTTGCTATGCATAAGGTTTTCCCTGGCCAATTCTTTGAGAAGTGGACAGCCTCTTCTTTCTTCCTAGTCTGTCTCAGTCTGTAAGCTGGGTTGATACCTGTACACCATGTGCATCCTGCTGGGTTTGAAACACCAGTGGCTAAGCCTCAAAATTCACATCAACACATCACCATGGTAGGACAACTGACAGATAAGTTTGTCTCCCTGTTGGAAACCTCTCCTACCACCCTTACCTGGGTCCCTTGGCCGAATCCTCTTCTGTCCCAGTTCCTGGGCCTTTTCCTACCCTTTCTCCTGCTCTCCCACCCTGCTGCTTTGGCCATGCCTGGGTTCCCTCTCCTCACCTGAATCCCTGTGGCTGACTCTGAGACTCTGAAACTTACCCTTAAGTGGAGAGTAGCTAAAGCAAATGGAAGAAATGACAAGAAAAAAGAGCTGAACCAAAGATTTCAAAGAGCAGCTCGAGTAGACAAAGCCAATTACTATAATGAAATGTGCCAAGACCTGGAGTTGGAAAACCAAAAGGGAAGAACATGCTCAGCATTTCTCAAACTGAAAGAACTGAAGAAAAAATTTAAGCCTCGAGTTGCAATAGTGAGAGATTTTATGGGCAAAATATTGAATGATGCAGGAAACATCAAGAGAAGATGGCAGGCATACACAGAGTCACTGCACCAACAAGAATTGGTCGATCTTCATCC